CGTAATCAAAGCAATCTTCGATTGGTTTTTTTTTTTTGAAGACCCGATATTTTTGTATAAGGAAACGCTTCCTTCAAATTCTTTCCCTTAATAAATAATATGTTGAGCTGAGCTGCCTCAAACTCGTTATGCTTTCGCCTTTGATGAGACTTCGAGCAGAATTGTTTTAGGAGGACACATTCTACTTGTAGATGGTCCGTAAGATCAATCGGGTATAATTTATGAAGTTTTATGGCGTAAACTCAAATTTTCGCTTCGAACATTGTATGTGATTTGCATAGAAAGAAAGAATGCAAGATTGGCGATTGCTACTGCGTGATACGAAATTTTGCGCCGCCTTAACTCTGCCAAAAATTGGTCGCATTATGGAAGAAAAGTACCTCATAATTCTTAAACATCCAACACCTAACAACACTTTTTCTTTGGAGAAACGCGGAATCACGACGGATGGGTGTTAATATCTGATGTGGACAGATGAGCCCATCGATATCGGCTGGCCGGAAACACGATCGGGTGATCGGACGGTTGCCGAATTGCCCCATTTCTTGTAATGTTATTAACCAAATAATAAGTTTTAGCTTTGTTTTTGTTGCTTCGTTACTTCGTTGTTAATTGTTAATTTGATAGCATTGTTAAGCGCTGGGGTCGCGGCTTGTGCCGCCCCTTGCAGCCTTACCGCCCCGGGCGCATGGAGGTAAGTAACACCCTGTTTAGCATTCGGCAATCCGTTCGACAACAGTTCGGTTTTTCATATGTAACACCCGTGGTTGCATGGATGTGCGCTTTATTGGGTGTTACTTACTGTCAATATTAGATGAGCCTATTTACTATTTTCATCTTGTACCTAAATAATTATTTTAGGGCATTGAAATTTTAAAACATGAGTATATACGTGCAAAATATATTGATATAAATTATACTGTGCGTTTGTAATTTAGCAGATAAAAACAATAAAAGAGTGACAATTTTTTAAAAAACCTCAGACACTAATATCAACTACATATTTGTATAGTTGTGGAACATCAAAAAATCCAAAAAGAAGGCCACGTTTCACATTTTTAAATACCACACTGTATACGACCCATTTTAATTTTTTTTATTTTTTTTTTGTAAAAATAACAAGGAATTTAATAATATATAGGGTGGGCTCAAAAAAAACGGAATTTTGTTTTTGAGCTGTAATTTTTTTGTTGTTGACTAGTTTTTGAGATACAGGCTGCTTTCTTTTACAGGGTATGTTAGTGCAATTTGTCACATTACATGTTTTGCTTTAAAGAAGTTGTATGAATTTAAACATCTTCTTCCCACTAATACCAAAATCATGTTAATAGAGTCGCCAGTCTTGATACACTGCTATTATGCAGATTGTGTTGATGGACCCTTTCTAATAGATCATAACAGATATACACTACAAAAGATTCAGAACAATCGTACGATATATATTGAACATAAATAGGCGAGAACATGTTACTCATTACATTACTAACAGTATGCTCAAGATGAAGGAAAGAAGATTTTTACATTTTGCTGTTTTGATACAAAATATTATTTAGAACAATTGCCCAGAATATCTCTCCAAACTATTGTTGAGGCTTGGTGACATTCATACCAGGTCAACAAGGAACATAGATGCTTTCGAAAAGCCATCGTACTGAATTTTTTCAATCTTCTTCCTCTTACTTGGGCCTACATGTGTACATGATACCAAAAGGAAATACGAAAAGTAGGGCCTATAAGCAAGAATTAACGAGCGAATTAATAAAATACAGAAAGTTTGAAACATAAAAAAAACTAATAATATTATATCTATACTATGTATCTAATAAGGGCATTACTTTTCAACATTATGTGAATGCAAATCTGTCCGGGGTGAGTAACACCCGATAAAGAAACTCTCCGTTGCGAATGTTGCGATATCGGGTGTTACATTCAAATTTGCGAACGTGAGCCAAATGGGTGTTACTTACACTAGAGTCTAGCCATCACATGTGGAGCAACTACGATTGTAGCCGAAAGCCGAGCCGAGCGCATTGAACTTGAAGGAAGGTGTATATTTAGTTGCAGCGAAAACAACAAAAATAAACTAAAAATCAATATTAATTATAGATAAAAGAAAACTGATAGAACATTATCAAAAAATATTGTAATTTGAATATGCCTTAAAATTAAATATTCTATAGGTATTACGTATCTCTTCGAGTCCGTGTGGAATTATCATCAAATTCTAATATTGTCTGCAAAAAAAGGACGTTGAAGTTTAGATGCGGATTTTTGCATTTTTTTTTTGTTGAAATACATTTCCTCTGTGGAGTAATTGGTAACTTTTCTCGCTCATTTGTAAGTAAGGGAAGTGGTTCATGTTGTTTTCGTTTTAAAGTGGTTTTAAAGGCAATAATGCCTGTTCTACCACCCTATAACTTTCCTACTATCCTAAATCCAAACTACAAAAAATGTAGGTAATATTTTTACAAATAATTATTATCTTGTAAAATGGACTTGTAATTTTATTTTGATAAAAATGAGAATGGGTAAGGAAACGATAGAAATAACAAATACATTCTTGTTCTCGATTTTCTATCTCTTCTTATCTCGAAATCTAGAAGGGCTGTAAAAAAAACTTAAATACAAAAGTTGTTTCTAATAAAATTATCTACAACTTTTTTGTATTGTTTTGAGTGTCACTCTACTATATACAGGGTGGGCAGATAAAATTTAATTTTTATCAATGGAACACCCTATATTTTAATACATTTTTCCATAGCCCTTTGAAAGACAAATTCAACCATATACTGGTTATCTGTCTGTGATATACCGTTTCGAACTTATTAACGATTATCTTCAGGCTTTGGGGTAATTTTAAACAGTCTACTACTACGTTACTCATAAACTTTTAAAACTTTTTTTTGTATAATATTTTTTATAAAATAATGCTCTTCTTCAGACTGTATTGAAACTTGAAATATTTGTTTAGAAAACGCGGTGTTGCCACGTTTCGCAAAATGTTACGCTTTTCAATTTTTTGAGTTTTTGGATAGCCCTTTAAAAGACAAATTCAACGATATACTGGAAATGGGTCTGTAATGCACCGTTTCGGCCTGAATGGCAATTATCTTCAGTTCTAGCACAATATTTCATCTGTCCAAGTCGCCTGGTGAAGAACAAAAATTTCTATTTTCCGTCGACCGTCTATTAACGTGCTTTATAAATGTATAAAAAATTGTTCAATAATGCCACCATGAATGCATAAAAAGCAGTATTTCAGCTAATCTACTGCAAATTTAGACATTTTTTTCATTCAATAACAGGGATGACATGAGATATTGTGCTCGAACTCAAGATAAACGCTAATCGGGCCGAAACGGTGCATCACAGATCCATGTCCAGTATATCGTTAAATTTGTCTTTTAAAGGGCTATCCAAAAACTCGAAAATTTACAGGAGGTCAACATGCGAAACATGGCAACACCGCGTTTTTTAAACAAATATTTCAAGTTTTAATATATTCTGAAGAAGAGCATTATTTTATAAAAAATATTATACAAAAAAAAGTTTTAAAAGTTTTTGAGTAACGTAACAATAACTGTTGAAAATTACCCCAAATCCTGAAGAGAATCGCTGATAAGTTCCAAACGGTATATCACAAACACATGAACAGTATATCGTTGGATTTGTCTTTCAAAGGGCTATGTAAAAATGTAATAAAATATAGGGTGTTCCATTAGAAAAAATATATATATTTGTCGACTCTGTATATAGTAGAGTGGTAACAAAAACCATACAAAAAAGTTGTAGATAATTTTATAAGGAACAACTTTTGTATTTAAGTTTTTTCTACAGCCCTTGTAAAGTCTGTATTTTTTTTAAAGATAATTCCCCAAGTCAAAAATTTAGTAACTTTGTTGGCAACACAAGCCTTTTCTACACAAAAAATTTGAAAGCATTGACAATTTTACATTGCATTGCCAACATAACGTCATTTTGACTTTTATCTTTAAAAAAAAAACAGATTTTAGATTTCGAGATAAGGTATAGGCCCCTCTTAAACGGGCCACCCTGTACATATGGTGCAGTGTCGTTGGTGGCTATGGTACGTTCCGTTTTTCTCTTTCGATATACAATCACCTATTCTATTTTATTAAAAGCAAAGTCGGCCCGCGATCATATTTCAACTAATATCAAAAATTCAAATATTTTCATCAAGGAAAATAATTGAAATTTGAGAGATTTTCAGGGGGGGTCAAGTGACCTCCCTGACCCTCCTTGTGGGCGCCCATGTCGCTCTTGTATATTTTTTTCTGACTCCTCTTTCATTAATATTCATTTCGAATTTCTTTCTTCCACTCCGTTATTATTGCCATGGTGTTTTGGGACCACTATTCTCCATTGGCTCTACGATTACATTCTTCTTGCTCGGTTGCTTAGTACCATTTCAGCAGTTTCATGGAACAAAATATACCTGGCAAGTTTCAGGAAAGAGCGAGGCTTGACAGCAATTCAATTGAAAATATATACCTCAATAAGGCATTTCGCTTTTGCAGTTAAAACTCTTACATTGCCGAAATAGTCACAATATTCTAATACACCTTTTAAGGTTGCCAGATGTAAAATACTTACTGAAAAGTAGCTTTAAATTAAGAATTATTATCTAGATAAATTAGACTTTTCTAAAATTCACAAAATAATATTATGGCTTGGGCAGTAACAACCTACCTACTTTAAAAGCTTCTGCATTCTACATATTATCATGCCTTTAATATTAAAACATCAACCGAGAAAGAGCTTTTTTAACTATTAAAATTCCTCTATAAAACTGGAACATTATGATATGAGTCTAACAGACAAAAATGTCAGCCTCGCTTTGCCTTATATTTTTTTCTCAAAAATAATATACATAAAAGTCGAATATGGGAAATGCTATTAAGATGTCTCTCTGGTATATTATAAATAGAAAAATAAGTATATGCAGTGTGTTCGATAATATTTCCTTAACAAAATGTTTACTCCGTTCGAGTACGCCGTACTTTTGACAATCATTGCCAACTGTGTCGTCCTAGCACTGGAAGAACATCTGCCTTGCGCCGATAAAACCATGTTAGCACAAAAATTGGTAAGTCAATCCCACTTTTGATAATGTACTTATTATTCATCAATTTAACATTTAGGAAAAGACGGAAGTCTACTTCCTGGGAATCTTCTGTGTTGAGGCTTCCCTAAAAATTCTAGCTCTAGGGTTCGTTTTACATCGGGGCTCGTACCTTAGAAATATTTGGAACATCATGGATTTCTTTGTGGTGCTAACAGGGTAAGTTCAATGATAATTTTATTTATTTATTTATTTTTTTCATTTATAGTAATATAATAATTTTGAAAACAGTATCAATTTTAGCAGATTTTTGCAGCCAGAAAATGCGCCTCTTAATCCTTTATTTTCAATGACTTATTTTTCTCGCCAACATAATTTACGGACTTGTGGCCCTGAAAACACCGTGCAAACTGGGTCATTTCAGTCAGTTAAGTTAATTCACTATTTAGGCCAGTCATTAAACATTTCCAAACTGGAGTTCTAAAAATTTGAGTATTTGGGTTGAATTATTTTTTGCATAATTCAGACTTGAAATATTGCCAATGATAAGATGATGATCAGTAACTACATCACCTCGTCGCGGTGTATACTTATTATATTACCTAGCTCTTGAACTTCAACTTAAATCAGTGGCTTTTTGGTACAATCACTAGGTGAGGGTTCTCAACAAATGAAAAAAAAAAAAAACTCTCATTCTTCCAAACCTTTTAGTAGTCGCGTGAAGTGTTCAACAGTTAACAGAATATACTGGCATCATTTCGTACTCCGAGAATGCCTCCAAAAACTGATGAAAACCCTATCAAAAAAAACTATCTTAGCTGTTCCAATTCAAGCTTCACTACCTTTTTTTCTAGATTTACTGAAAAAATCTTTAGTTATGTCATGTTTTTGGATCGTTTTATTTATTAATTTACAGCTTTCACCTATTTACAAAGTATCAGTAGTAGAGGATATTATTATAGGTACAAAGGTATCTAAGAGTAAAATGCATAAACATTATTTAGAAATTATCACCTTGAAGAAACATTGCAAATCCTCTAGAATTATCTCGCAGAAAATCGAGCCTATTCGCATATTGGATATCCAACCTTGATAAGCGCTTATAATAAATAGTATATGTTTCTAGATGTATATTTATCGATCCGCGTCTTACGATTTCCGATCTCCAACCGTCTCTCTCAATCCAGGCATCCTCTTCTTTCGTTTCTTAGACCACTCCACTTTTCCAGCTTCTCAGTCTGTTGCGTCTTCTTCTTCTGAAAGAAACTTCTTCTTCTCACTGGCCTCCACTCAATGATTTGCTCGGATATTCTCGTATCTATCATTCTTTATACCGAACCAAACTTGTTTTAGTCCGCAGTACTCGATTTTGTATTTCATGTACACGCCAAACTACCTGAGCAGCTTTATAATACCGGACATCGGGCATCGGATCCCCTCAAAAGATATTTGTTCGACAAATGTGATATCGAAAAAGGCTTTCACGGCCGGTCAAATCTAGTAGAAAAGTTTTTTCCGGGCTATAATATAATGCCGTGGTCTATATATACTATAGTAGTATTTCTACCTAACGTTTCGTCTACTGCTGCGGTAAACATCTTCAGAGGCAGTATGGTATAGGACAAAGTGTTTCCTTCCGTGTTCCTCCGTTGACTAGATTCAACGTTGTAGAACCTGCGTTATTTATATTGAAGGTTGTGGGCGTGGTTTGTATTACTATTTTCCTTGTCTCGTTCTCGGAAAGGAAAGGTCTTTGTTTTTCGGAGAACTGGCAACCAGATTTTATTGAGGTTCATGCCCTCTTCTTTTCTGATGAAGTTGTTGTGGTGATTCTCTATCTCTATGGCTTCTCTGTGGAATCTGGTGTAGAGATGTTTGGTTCTATCCAATGCTTGAGTCTAGTCGAAACGAATGACATGGTTTGTTTGTGTTAACACATGTTCGGCGATTGCTGAAGGTATCTGGGTTCACAAATCCGGATTGCCCTGTCAGATAGAATTTTAATTACTCCTCTCTTTTGCCTTGGGTAGTGATTGGATTTCTTGTTGAGGTATCTGTCGGTATGCGTCGGCTTGCTATATACTCTGTGTCCCAGTTTACCTGAGGGTAATCTTTCCAAGAGGACGTCGAGGAATGCAATTTTGTTGTCCTTCTCAACTTCCATCTTAAACTGTATCCTGTGTTCCATTGAGGTTAGATGATTAAGGAAGTTTTCGAACTCTGCCCGTCCATGGTTCCAAACAACAAATGTGTCATTTACATAGCGAAACCAACAAGTAGGTTTCTTTGTGGCCGTTCGCAGTGCTATTTGTTTGAAGTACGTAGTCGTCAGACAGTGGTGAAATAAGTTGTTAATTTCCTCCGGGGAAAAAAAAAAAACATCTTCCAGATACTCTAAGGCTGAGGCCTGATTCACTGGTACCTTGGTAAACAATGAGACGAAAACTAACCAGAATGTCGTTTGGTAGTAGAGTGATGTCACTGATCTTTTTTATGAAATGAGTTGAGTCTTTAACATAAGAACTGGATTGGCCAATCCGTGGCTGAAGGAGGGTGGTGAGGTATTTGGACATTCTGCATGTGGGCGAATCTATTGCACTTACAATGGGTCTGAGTGGGTTGCCTGTTTTGTAGAGATGGGCAAAACTGCTATTTTTTAGTAGCAGTTGGAGCAGTTACCATTTTTTCAAAGTAGCAGCTATCAAATAGCTGCTGAAAAGAAACAGTTTATCCGGAACGATGCTCGTGGTTATGGATACCGTTGGTCCTTGGTGTTGCGTGTGCGCATGTATACAAGCATATTTCATTTTTTAAAACGGCAGTGTAACTTTGTCTAGTTCACGAAAAATCAAAATGACACTTTCATCTCTCATAATGATAGATATTTCGAAGAAAAAAAGGCAAAACTACGATGTTAGGTTATGTTGTTCGAAGCAGCTTTTTTCAAAATCGAGTAACAGGGATAGCTGCTTCAGCAAAATAACTGTTAAAATATAGCAGCTTACGCGATAGCGACCCATCTCTACTGTTTTGTGAATCTTAGGTAGCCCATATATTCTAGGTGGTAAGGCCTCAGATTTGATGAGTTTCCTTATGTTTTCCGGGTCCAACGGTAGTGTTCCGACGAGTTGATTGTTGATTGGTTTTTCGCAACATAGAAGGAGTTAGCAGTGGGATTGCGTTTCAACTTTCTGTAGGTGGAGGGGTCTAGCAGTTCGGAAATGTTTGATTCATAGTCAGTCACGTTCATGATTACCGTTGCGTTTCCTTTATCCGCAAGCAGGACTAGTATGTTCTTGTGTGTATTCAGGCTGCGAATAGCTTTCCTTTCCTCGTATGTCAGGTTGCACTTTTTTGCTAGTCGTAGAATCCTCAGTGTTCCATGTTTCATTCCGTGTTTGCTCCGCAGTGGTTTGAGGTAATGTGCGTATGCTGGCTTCCACATTTGCTATGATGTCTTCGAATGGCAGGTCTTTCGGTGTTATTGCAAAATTACCTCCTTTTCTTAGTACGCTGGTTTCCGAATCGGTCAGAACGCGTTGGGACAGGTTGACAACTGTGCAATCATTTTCTGTAGCTTTCGCAGTGTTCAATGGTTTCAAGGACTCAATCTTATTTACCAGTTTCTCGGTTGTTTTTGCTAGTGTGGCTTTCATCACGCCATACGTCATTCGGTCAATGTTGTCCCAGTAAATCCAATGCATGCTATTGGATAACCTTTGGTTTATCGATAGAAGATGCTTGTCCATATAGCTGCTAGGTCTTTCCTTGTTTGGTGAATCCGTTACCGAAGTAAGGCTCGTTCGAAAATTCTGTTAGATTGAAAGGAATTGAAATCAATTTAATTCTTTCCAATCTTACAGAATTTTCGAACGATGCATTGGAGTGACTGGGGCAAAATAGACCTGATAACGTATGAGTCAGTTTGGCCAGTTCTTTTGGCTCTGTTGACTAGTAATTCGGCTAGGTTATCGTTCCACCAAAGAAATCTCCCTATCCAAGTAGTTCGATCTAAAACAACACCAAAAACCTCATGGAATTTCATTGCTATTTTGATCTGAATCGAGCTCTCTTTCCAGGTCACCCGCATTATACTCTCTACCAGCTCATGCTTCCTCTAAAACTCTTTACTGTTTACTTCTTTATATAACTGTAGACTCGTTTCGAACAGTACCCAAATTTGGCGTTTTTTTTTCCGAAATCAGTTACGCGTACTGGCTTTGGAATCGCATCTAAAGTACTGCTATAGTATTTTGCAAACAAGTTCTGTTGCCGTCAGATCAAAGCGTGGTTAGAATTTTGATAGGCGACAACGCAATAAAATAGGTACTATGATGATGTGGCCTCAGGGTTGCAAAGCGTGCTGACTCCATACTGTTCGGATATCTTCTAGAAGCTCGTCAATATTCCCTTAGTCGGTTGATCACTACAGTACCTACTTGGCCAAGCTTCTTCTTCTTCCAATGCGTATTCACTAATGGATATTTTCGATAATATTTTCCATTGCTTCTCTATTTCTTGCGGTGTGTATTAATGACTGCACATCATGTAACCCTGTCCACTGTCTGATATTTCGCAGCCAAGACATTCTCTTTCTTCCGATCCCTCTCCGGCCTTCGATCTTGCCTTCGATCAACAGGTGCAAGAATTGGTATTTCGTGTTTCGCATTATATGTCCCAGATATGCTGTTTTTCTTTTTTTAATCAATTCAAACAGTTCGAGTTGTTTGTTGACACGTCTTAGGACTTCTTCGTCTTGTTAGTCTAGCCGTCCAAGGTATCTTAAGGATTATGCGATACAGCCACATCTCGAAAGCCTCTAATTTGTTAATTGTAGTCACCTTTAATGTCCAACCTTCCATTCCGTAAAGAAGCACTAACCAAACGTAGCATTTAATGGATCTGAGTCTTAGGTCCAGGTCAAAATCGGAACAGGTAAGCACTCTTCGGAACCTCAAGAATGCCTGTCGAGCTTGTTCAATGCGATATTTAATCTCCTTGTCTGATGTCCAGTCTTCAAAAAGCCAGACGACCAAGTAGGTACTTAAATTTTTCTACTCTCTCTATGGGCCTTGCGTTAAATGTTATGGTGGAGTTTTCAAACATATTTGGGTTTCTAGAGATAATCATAAACTTTGTTGTTTTGGTGTTGATATTTAAGCGCATTGATTTCCTCTGTTCTCCTACCTTATTGACTAGTTGTTGTAGGTCGTATATAT